CAGTTCGAGCTGATTTGCAAGCGTCTATGCACTCAATTAGGGCCTTGTGCTGTGGTATAAGGCTGAAGTGGAAGCGGATATTTTATTAGCTGGTATAAATAGTAGTATACTAATCAAACAACTTTCACCTCTCGTAGGTAGGTACGAGTAAGTAAGAAAATAATGCATTTTCAATTATTTATTCAAATCATTACTTTTTCAAAACAAATCAAAATATCTTTATTCAAGTAGGTTTATCACAGATTCTTATGATATATCAAATCTATCGGTAGTTCGGAGTGTTTTCGAGCTAAGAGGAACTGACAAGAAACTCAGCTTTAATTCGTTTCAAATGAGCTTGTACATGTTTATAAAAATTTCACGGTCGGCTGTCACGGTTATAATTATATTAAGCAAATAAATTACATATATTTAATGTATAACTTAACTCATCTAGTCATGTATGTATATGTGTTATAAATGTTTGTATAGAAATAACCCTTGTACTCTTATGTTTGCAATTAAATAAACGGCATTTAGGAAAGCCAGGTCAATATTTTGCTGAGTTCAAATATTCTGCATGTTTACCGATTATAAAATCTTACAAATTATATGTATTGTGTATCAACATGTGTAAATAAAATAACGCGTAAATAATGCTACTTCCGCTTAATCTTACTCTTTAAACCTCACGTTCTATACATGAATTATTTATTCATTCCGCTCGATTTATATCAATATACGAAAGGCACAATTTAAGCACACCCTAATTATTAAACAGCCTATTTTAGTTCTTTGATCTCTTACAACTGATAAAGAAACGTTCACTGTTATTTAAACGATACGTTTTGTGATTATCATTATTTATTAACTAGTAGTGCCCGCGACCTCGTACGCGTATACATTTGTTACTGAGGGTGTTCAAATAGTATCAATACAACAATATTCGACGGTCTCGCTGGTCTAGTGGTTTTATCGCACCGCTTTACTGCCAATAGTCGCGGGTTCGATTCCTTGCACGACAAACATTTGTATTTATAGGTATGATTATATGTATCGATCTGGATGTTTTCTATGTATATTACCTATACATAATTATAAAAAAAATATTTATATTAGCTGTCTAGTATGCATAACACAAGCTCTGCTTGACTGGTATTAGATGGCGTTGTGTGAATTATCCTGTGATAGTGTTATAACTATAAATTTAGCATATATATACAACGCCATGTATTACTTAATAAATTTATAAAATTGTCAGTGGCGTATTGAAAATTTTCACAAAGGTAACTATTGCTCCCTTAGTCTACAGATTTACGGAATTGCGGTAGAATACTAACGCGAACGCTGACATTTGCTTCGGCGGCATAGGTACATCACAACATCACACAAAAGAACGTCATAGTTAAAAAGAAGTCATAAAACTCACGCGGGTGAAACCGAGGGCACGGATAGTGTTGATATATATTCACCAATATATTCTGTAAAAATTACATCGTAATTCCTCCAGCACACTTTCATTTTTTATACCACGAAATTATCATGTGAAACATAAACACACAAACAGAGGAGCAGACAGTTTGCGCCTTGTTACGACTTTATTATATATACAGATATTATATCTACTAAAAAAACGTCTTGAATGCGGTTTTTAAGTTAATGCCTAAATTTAAACGTCTTTAGAAGTGAAAGAGACATAAACTTATATCACAGTTACGTTGTATGCAGACATTAGTTTTTAGTTTAGTGCCTCAGTCATTGATACGATACTCATAGTCCATTCACCTGAATTTTCTACAAATGAATATTACTGTATGAGACACGTTTGTTTTTAACTTTCAATGAGTGTTATATTGAGTGTTCATATGGAATAGTCATTTATTCAGATATAACTTTTATTTCTAATCTATTGTGCTCTAATCTGTTAATGCTATATTGAATTTTCTGTTTATATATTCCATTCGGTAATACCAATTATGTTATCTGTGGTAATACGCATTATAGAGAGATTTTTTTATTGTTATTATATTATGAAAATTATTATATTAACCCTCAAAAGGAATATATATTTCCTCGTTTTTGCAACATTTTTCACCTCTCACTTCTTACTCTTTCCTCGAAAAATGGGCTCCTCAACACAATTTTTTTTAACTAATACTTCCTGCGATTAGAGCGTTCAAACAAACTTCCGCTTTATAATGTACTAAAATTATATAGAAACAGAAATAGATGCCAAAGCAACAAATGGACAGTAATCGTATACAATTCGCCACAGTTACAATGTGCAAATTGTGATCACAAATTTAATATCAAATTATTAAAGCACTTTTGTATAAATAAAAAATCTCAAGTTCCAAACAAAGTAAAATCACATAAAGCCTACAATGGAGATTAAGTATTTACAATTTCAAAGATTTTACTTGGAAGAAAAAGTTTTATGTATAACTCCCAAGATTTATTTTAATATTTAAAATTTGGAAAAAAGGACAAATTACGAAAACGATCCATGAAAGATAACACTTAACAAAGCAACATTGCAACGTACGGAACACATTAGTGATAAGCAAACAAATAAAGTTGATAGTCAAGTTGAACCAGTTTTAACTTTTAAGTTGCAATACAGATGCCAATACAATTAATAAAATTATCCAATTTCTAGTACATTTATGTAATTGTAGATGAAATGCCTAATAGTTATCTTTTATTTGTTTGTTTTGTTTGAAAAAATATCCAAAAGAAAATTTGGATGGGCTACCCCTAATCAAGGGTATAAAAACAGATCATAATCTATTCTCAGACCTATCGGTACATATAAAATTTCATCAAAATCGGTTAAGCCGTTTCGGTGATATATGGCAACTAACACTGTAACACGAGAATTTTATATATCAGAGAAGGTATGTAGAATTAAGACTACAATTACATGACAGATGATCCCAGCCGCGCCTTCACGGCCTGAATAATTTAGTCTGTACAGTATACAACAAAATTTCGATCTTTTTTAACATTGTGAGCTGAAGTGAACAACATGTGAGTTAAGTATTTATGGTCGATGAGTTATGTGCATGCTCAGCTGCGTCGTTGGACGTGTCGTATAAACAATGTTTAATTTGTTGCGGACAGTCGACTGCGGGAGACGCCGAGGTATTTGCGTAAATCTCATTTACTGCCATATTAATTTGGTTTAGCGCCGATAAAGCAGAATAATGAAATGGGACTGACGTATGAAGAGTTATGTGAGTAGGTGAGAGAAGGACGTTATGATAAGACGTTAGACTGTAATATTCTATAACTCTACTAGTAGGTGGGGACTTTTAGTAAAGGGGACTTATGGCTCCATTAATAATAATTTAATGTCAGGTTGATATCGCGAAACACCTCCTCATTAACGACCTCGGTGGTCTAGCGGTTTAGCACACTGCTTTACGTCCGATGGTCGCGGGTTCGATTCCTCGCACGGCGCAAACATTTTGTATTCATAAGTATGATTGTTTGTATCAGTCTGGGTATTTTCTATGTATAATATGTATGTATCTATGTATTTGTATCAGTTATCTAGTACCCATAACACAAGCTTTAGCTAGCTTAACTTGGATTTATATGGCGCTGTGTGAATTGTCCTGAGATGATTATTATTATTATTATATCGCGAATTCGTGGTGAATTCACCATGAAGGCCTAGCTAACTTCATGTTCATACTACTAGTGCACCGCCAGCGTATACCATTATCGAAGACGGTTGGTCCATTTCATTATCGTCCTAAAAGATGTATCTACATCAAGAGCATTTATGCAAAATTCGAGCATCGGCTGTGATATGTAAAGAACAAATTAGGTGTTACGTGTAAAGTTGGGAATCATTCAATCTTATTTTGGTCTAATACCCTTTCTTCTTCTGCAGCTTACAAACAGCAGGACTCAAGGAGGATAAACATTTTTAAAGACACACACAAGTACACTTCAAAACACGGGATTTTCAATATTTCTAAAAAAATAATCGCGCACGCATGGCGCTCAAAGAGATTAGATTTTTTAAGAAAAGAGGGTACTAAAATTCCAATAGAGATTACCTATTAAAGAGTCTGCATTGTGTTCATATCAGATATTAATTCTATGTATCAGATATTAAAAATTAAATTAATAATTATCAATAGTTTGTAAAGATTACTCTATTATATTTAATGTATATATTGTTGAATTTAATATGATAATTGATTTTTTTATAGAAACTATTACTCCTCCTTAAATAAAAGGTCATTTTAACCTAAAATATCTATTAAACGAAAATATGTACACATTAAACATTTTAATAATTATAAAATAAAAACCAAACGCTATAAACCATGAGTCAATAGATAAATTATGTATCTAAATCAGCGCATTGTCGGGTCAACTTATTTCTATACTTCGAGGCATTCAATCATTAGACGAGATTAACCTCATTTAACTGTGTCCAAGGCTAATGTAACGTGTACATATACATATGACGTGTCACAACTTGAGGTAATTTCTGAAATTAATTGGTTAACAATAATATACGAGACCGATACAAACAAACTGAATAATTAATATGAATGTCTGTACTGTGCGAGCAATCAAACCCCGACCATCGAAAGTAAAACAGTGTTCTAAACCGCTATACTATTGAGGTCGAACAACAAGTTAATGTAGAAAATTACAAATATTAACAACTATGTAATCTTTTTTCTTAAATATACCATTTTTGTAAAGTAACGAAAATACCTATATTTATGGAAACATTCACAAGTAAAATCATATAAGTATATTCACGGTGAATTACCTCTTCATTCATAAAATTATAGTTATCGTGAATACAATATACAATCATCACGGTTGTCCGAAATGGAGATTTCCTTTACCGAAAAACCTTTACCGTTTTTGATTTCGATCATCTGATCGAAAACAAAAACGGTAATTAGAAATCACTATCTTTGGGTCTGTATAGGAGAAGGTGAATAGACCACAAAGCTCGTTATTTTCTTATATAATCTAGAACTGACCTGAAACAGCAGATATCCAGAGTCGTACATCCAGAAGTCATCAGGCGCATTCCCGGGCTTGGTGAGATGGATCGCGAGGCAACGCTGCAGGATCAGGTGGCAGCGCTGCCCCCCCGCGCCGCGGCCGCTCATACCTCACGCGGGGCCGGGCGGCGGCATGCTCTGCACATAACATTATGAAATTAAATAAAACGTTTATTTGCGAGGAATGTTGTATACAAAACAATGAAATAAAGCGTTTATTTGCGTAGAATTTTGTACACAATACAAGAAATGAAGCGTTTATTTGGTAGGAATGTGGATTAAGCATTTATTTGCGAGGAATATGGTGTGTACAATGATTATGAAATACCTACACATCTACGCATTCCGTTATAATTACATAATAATATCGCTACTAAAATAGTGGTTGATATTTTTAATATTTAATGCCAAATCATAAAAAAAACTGAATATACACCCATAAAATTAGATCATATATTAATCATCGCAAACTAATTGATTTCCTGGCTATAATTGGATTAGTTATTTATTTTATTACATTTTGACACGACACAGAAATAAAGAAAAATAATTAGTCTTTATTAAAATAAACTTAATGTAAGCACTTTTGAATAATATATACAAGTACGAGTATGCCTAAATAAAATGATTCATTCTAAATTCAAAGCCATAAATTAAACTTCAATTGAAGTAATTAAGAAATAAAAATAATTAATTATTTCACATATAATAAATTAATAACAACAACAATAATTTAAATATTTTTTAAGCAATAGCATGTAAAGTATTACATAAAAAATTGTGTAAATTATTGTTTATAACATAATTTGTTTTTGTATTCTGTTGATGTCAATATGAAAATCAGTTAATTTATTTTAACAATATTCTTAACTCAGTACCACCGTACCTAAATTTAAACAATACTACGTGTAATATGGAAAAACTTAAGCAACATTAAGTACCTACGAACCCTTGACATGACAGTTTGGGAACAAGGTTTGTTGGTTACTTTACGCGTTGAAGATTATAGAAAATAATTAATTAATTGTGATTATAAATAGGTACAATAATTTGCATTATAATTAGATATTTTATTATTAAACCTGAAAATTATATTTATAAAACCTTGATATTTATAAATAATAATAATTAATAAATCAAGTGATAAATTTTAATAATAGCAGATTATGTGAACAATGGACAATAAATAACTCAATAAAATCTAGTTAATTAAGACTGTATGCCGCCGACCACTATCGATACAAAACGTGTTGACATGAAAATATCTACAAAAACTTATTAAAATCTATGAAATTTTGTTCACAGCATAAAGCTACTAATACTAATCACACTGGTCAGATTATTTTTAAACAAGTTTGTGTTAGAATTACACGTAACTGAAATAGCTACATTTGTATAAACAATCCAAGGCAGATTAATTATTTAAAAAAAAGTACAAATTATTAAACTATAATGAATTTTCAGAATAATGAAAAAAATTCATTATATTTACGTCAAAAATTCGATTGAAAGTATTGCTATCGCGTTTGAGTGAATGAAAACGCAAGGTGTCTGAATAGAGATAGAACGGATACTGAAAAATGGTAGATATTTTCCTTCATCGTATTTTTATTGCTGACACACTCCCCTTAATTAAAGAAACATGTCATTTAAATAATACAATTTTATTTAAAGTGAGACGTAAGAGTGAGTGAGTGTAGACACATTATGTACCGAGCTGTATACCTTGTGAAGTGTTAACATTATTGGACATTTACGTTTTCTTAACATTCATGTAATATAATGATAGTGTGTGTAATATTTTATTTATTGATTTATTTAGCATAATTAAGATAAACTACAAGTATGCGAGGTTTAATACTTCCAGGTACACGCAATTTTTGTAAAAAGGGATACAAAGTTTTTGTTTCACGTATTAATTTTATCGCGTGGACACACTTCCCTTAAATAAAGAAACATGTCATTTGAATAATAAAATTTTATTTGAAGTGATATTCATTACGTATCGAACTGTGCATAATAAAGTGTAGTGTTCTAGCTCATGTGAGATTACAGTGATTTAGACTTTAACACGTAATATATAAGAGTAATTCAGTTTCAGAATAGTATTTAATCAATATGTAGTCTCAAATGCTTTAAATCTTTTAGAAAACTAAAATAGACGGTCTATAATCATACCGAAGTCATTCATCACCTCAAACTACTGTTAACTATTGACATTTCGATTAGATATTGACTAATAAAGCTGTCGACGCAACCATTTAATAACCGGAATATTTATTAACATTATTGCAAATCCCCTTCCTGACAAATTAAATCAACAAAAGTTACATAACTTGACGTCAGCTGCATTGTATTTATTTGCTTGTTATACGAATGGCTACTAAGCAGTAGGGACATGAGAAAGTTATCGATAATCCAAAAAAAATAGGTTATTATTAAAAAATCAATCTTTATAATAATAAAAATAAACGATTATTTTACATCCCTATTGTTATATATTGATATATACTGTAGTAGCTAATTAGAAATGTATTTTTTATTCCTTTATATTTAAATTTAGTGTAGTGTAGTTCTTTTACTGTACATTTTATTTATACTTCAATTTCCTGATCATCATCATCATCTGCTCATTCATTATCCCATTTATTTAGGGTCGGCGTAATGTTTTTCCATGTTCGCAGTCATCTCGTTATTTACTCCCTTTCTTACCATATCATCTTGCACACAGTCCATACATCTCTTTTTTGGCCTTCCTCTGCCCTTATAACTATTCACATGTAACACCTTCCTTAAGATATTATCTTCATTCCTACGCATTACATTCCCATACCACGGTCTGTCGTGGTATGGGAATGAAATGCGTAGGTAGATTAGTAGTAGATTACTCTTTAAGTCCGACTCGAATTCAACACCTTGAAATGATGATTGTAAATGATAGCATTTACATATAAAAAACCCTATATTATTAATATATTTCTTCTATTTTCTATTTACCTATATACATATAAAAATAAAACTATAACAGATGTCTATGTATTCATTTTAATCCATTCGATTATGGACATCACTCGACAATGTAACTCGACCTACGGTAACCACTTGCCATCAGATGGGCCGTTTGCTTGTTTATACCTTAGATCTTAGAAATACTTAAAAATACGTTACAAATAACATACATTTTGTGATGTCGGCGGTGCTCTCGTATATAGGTGACGATATCCACTTTCTGTCCCTACCGGATACCGCACTTCCAATTACATAAAAAAGACATAGATACCTACAAGTTTCCTTCGTCATCTTATCAAATAGTACATGAATTAAAAAAATGTTACACTACCATACAATAAACATACATACGATCACGAATAACATTAAGGCGACGAAAGACACGAATAACTTTAAATTTCCCAATTATATGTTTTTTCATTGTTACAGATTACAATTGTTTATTACTATTTTCTACTTATCTAGTGATATTGTTGTCAATTAACACTTCTACTTCAACGTCATATATGTAACACCTAAAACAAACGTCCAGTATGATGTAAACGTAATAAAGCCGTGGTCAGTTACACAACACCAGAATTGGCTCTGATGCCGTTATAATAGCGGACAATAGTTCCAGTGTGGCACGGCCTTAATTCTCCAAATGGTGGTAGGTACTGTAATTTTTTTTAATGAATACATTATCTCATACAGGTGAAGTATTTTACACATTCACACTATAGTAATCTAAATATATATAACTCAAAGGTGACTGACATAGTGATCTATCAACGTACAGCCCAAACCACTGGACGGATCGGGCTGAAATTTGACATGCAGGTAGATGTTATGATGCAGGCAACCGCTAAGAAAGGATTGTGATTAATTCTACCCCAAAGGGGATAAAATAGGGGATGAAAGTTTGTATGAAACTTTGTCAATTTTAAACCGATCGGGCTGAGACTTTGCATGCATAAAGCTGCTATGATGTAGGCAAGAAAGAATTTTGATAAATTCCACCTCTAAGGGAATAAATTAACGCAAGCGAAGCCGCGGGCAAAAGCTAGTAGTTATATATTTTTAAATAGACACATTCTGGTGGTAATACAAAGTTTTATATCTTGTCTGTATATATTATATCTTACTGTCTCGCTTTCATACCCCTAAGTAATAACGGTGGTCCACCCCTAACATTTATTTTTTTATTTATGACATAATTTTATTTTTTTATAATGGGGTATTAAAAATACATACAACCCTAAATTTTCACCCTTCTATCACTAATCCTTATTATTTAATAGCAATTATAATTTATATGGTAGAACAACGTCGGTGGGATCAGCTAGAATGAATGAATAATTCGATTATTTCATTAATTTTATTACTATTAGACTTAATTATTTAATTTCATGTAATGTAATGGTAAGTAGCAAATATTAAGGAGTGGGATCTATCAATTTTAGTACTAAAGATTGCTATTGTATTGTACTTTCGTATTCTTAGATTGCGTACATTGCGTACCTCAATATTTAATAAACTCTAGTACGCAATGTAAATCGATTTATTCGCTTTACTAATTGCGTTTCACAAATCAATTAAATACAAAAGTAATTGAATTGAAATTAGATTGAAGAGTAGAGTACAGAGTAGATTCCATACTCAGAGATTTTTTTTATTATAATTCTATAAAAAAAAGTCTATTAGTCACTACTTGTGACTGTATTTTCGTTGTGTTCACTGAAAACCTTTAAAAAGACTACTTGTTTCATTCAAAGACAACAAAAGTGGAAATGAAATGTATATATTTTTCTTTCCCGAATAATATTCCAGTGCTTTGATGCTGTTTATCCTTCGTAGGAGATATTTTTTACTCATCAATAAATCAATATCTGATAGCGATACATAGTCATAAAATTTCATCGTTTTTCATCGGGGCACTAACTTTCACGGGCTTCGATTTATGTACATTTTATAGTTATGCCCAAGTACTTGTTATTAAACAGTAATTTGATTTCACAAGTATCTATTCCGAAAATAACTGGTTACAGTTTTAAGTGTTTTTATAGCTTCCCAGCTTAGATTCATTCTGTTTGTATAATATTTACAAGTTACAAAGACATTGCGTTTCCATTCCGAACAAAGAAGATATG